CGCTTTACTGGAGGGGGAAATGAAAATGGCTGTGCTACTGGCAATCTCTCTCTGCCACTTTAAGGGGCAATTTTATTTAGCAGGAATAATCTCGACAGATGTCCATGCAGGCCCCAAAATGAGCAATTCTCTTTGTAGCTGATGCCAAGAACCCTTGTCTATGGGGCTGGGGTGTAGCTTTTGTGATGGGTCTGGATCCTGCTGGCAGGTTGGAGAGGAGCTGACTCTATTTCTTTGAATTAAGCAATTCTTCCATTGCCCCATGGCACCTTCTCTTAAGGGGTTTTAGAAGCTTTTTGAAAGCAACTTTAAAAAGCGGATAAGGGAAGACTTTCACACACTGGCGCTAGACTGTGCAACTCACTGCTACAAGCTGGAAGCCAAGAGATTAGCGTTGATTGGACATTAATTTGGGATCTTTTTATCCCAATAGCTACAGCTTTGGAAGAGCTGGAAACCCTCCTGCTGTGGGACATGAGCCCCAATCTCTAGTGGGGATCAGGAAGAGCTTTTCCTTGGGGGTAGATTAGCCCTGCAGGGTGCCTAGCACTTTCCTCTGAAGTTGCCGGTGCTGATGGATAGGGGGCAGGATGGACCCTGCACTAGAAATTCCTACATTTAGAGATACACAGGCATTGCTTCTACCATGTCTGGCGAGGAACAGGGCAGAGCAGCATTACCCAAGAGTCTGAGACAGGAAATGGGGAGGGGATCTTTGCAGCAGGACTGCAGGCAGTCATTCCGGCTTTGCAGAGCTGGAGGAGGAGCTGGCTGTTGTTTCCCCGGGTGCATTGTGCAAACAGGAGGCAAGGAATTGTGTTTGCGGGCTTGTCCCCTGAGCATTCACTTACAGCCTTGCGCCACCAGAGGGAGACGAGCAGGGCCTGCCTTTCCTGTGCAGCAGGGCCAGATGTGGTCTGCCGAGCAGAAACTTGGCAGGTGTGCTCAGAGAATCAATAGGGCTCTAGCCAGAGCAGCACGCTGGCACAGGCTGGGCTTTAATTCTTAGAGAGTATTTCCTGGAGTCCCCCGTGCTCCTTCCCAACATGCTATAAAAACTCCATGGGGTTTGAAAATATTTACTGGAGCTCTGCTCCGGACAGCTCTGGCTGAATTGAAACCCTGGGTGCAAGGGTGCATCATAGGAGCAGCGTTGGTTACTTAAACTGCAGATGCTTTCATCAGTCAGAAGGTCAGCTTGTGCCTTGATTTGGCCAGGATCCACTTGGCAAAGCACTATAAGACTTCTATCTAAGGAGTGGTTGCCTGCCCCTCCCCACACACACACACCCTCACAGCTGTGTGGTTGCTAAGCAATACAAGCTGGCAGCTAAGATGCTGTGAAATAGGAGCAAAGGGGAGACATGAATAGGCATTTTAGAAAATGGGAAAAGGCCAGTGTAGCACCAGGTGGACGTGGAGGGACTCATTAAACAGGATCTGACAGGCCCCTCTCACGTACCCAGGGTGATAGAGGGGAGCCTGGTATCCACCTTATTACACCTGTCAGTGTTCTTCACAACCCTGAGAAATGGATTAAAACCCCTTCCCTGGGGTGTTAAAGGGCAGATGGCATTAAAAAACACAGAGGTATTTTAAATCTCCTTAGCTGTGTTACCACCATCACTTGCAATTATGGCACCAGGGAGGAATTTCCAGTGGTGTTTTCCTTGTTAACAATTCTGCTTTGGAGGTAAAACTTTAAAAAGTGTCTGGGTCACCTAGGCGTCCAGATCCTATTTTCAAACGTGTCAGTCTCTGCCTGTGCTGAAAAGTGTTTGCCAGGAGAGCCATCCTGGCTTACTAGAACTGCATTAAGCTATCCCAGGACACCCTCCTCTTGGGGGAGCTGCTCTTACCATGCCGAAGAGTTCTTTTTGCTTAACCCAGTTCCCCAGAACGTCATAATGGCACTAGGACTTCCTTCCCAGCGTAACTGTAACTACACAAGGCCTTCCGCTGGCACAACTATGGTTACGGGGGGTGTCTTCTTTACCCCCAACCCTAACCCACACAGCTATGCCAGTAAGGGTATGTCTGCACTGGAGCTGGCGGCGTGATCTGCAGCGAGTGGAGACATGCCGGTGCTAGCTTTAATCTATCTAGTTCACTAAAAATAGCAGAGAGGACACAATGGTGCGGGGCTTCACTGTGGGCTGCACAATCCCACCTGACACACACACACCCACACCCACACCCCTCCCCATTTGTGCAGCCCATGCTGCCTGTTCCTCACTGCTCTTTCGAGTGAGCGAGCTGGAGCATGGCTCGCAGGAGTACGTATACATGAGCTGCCAATCACATGCCCGGCTTCAGTGTAGGCAGACTTAAAACAGTGACTTCAGTGAGACTTTAATCTGAGTGCCTAAGTCGCTTCTGAATATGTTGGTCCTTGTCTGTTGACTCGTTGGTTTCCCTTTCTGGCTCTCCCACCCTAGCACCTGCTCTGGTGCTTGGGCTATAACTGCTGCAGGGCAAATTCTGTATCTAAACTGCACGTCCTTAGTAGTTTCCCGTGTTGGTTGCAGATATGAGAGGGACAAGGTGGGGAAGGTGATCTATTTACCGGACCAACTTCTGCTGGGGAAAGAGACAAGCTTTTGAGCTCCACAGAGGTCTTCAGGTCCGGGTGCTTGCTGTAAGCTTGAAAGCTTGTCTCTTTCACCAGCAGAAGCTGATCTAATAAAAGATATTCCCTCTCCCACCGTGTCCCTTTTAGTTGACATTCAAGAAAAAAAAATCCCACCAGTTTCTATACAGATCAGGGCCTATAACCCTCTGCTTCTTTCAATGTTTGTTCCTTTCAACTGAGCCTAACCTGCCTGAAATGTCAACTTGAAATTCTTCGTGGGTGAGGGGAGCTTTCCAGCATAGCCCTCTAAGTATGTCCAGTCTTTCCTCTGCAAAATTGGGCTAGCAATGGAAGGCAGGTGTGGAAGGCTGCTACTTTGAGTGTTTTCGTTAGCTAATTGGCTAATATCTGCAAGTGCCAAGTATTGTGTTATAGTTGTGTCTCGAGGTGCCAGCTGAGATCAAGACCCCAATGTGCTAGGTGCAGGACTGTGAGAGACCGTTCCTGCCTGGAAGACTTTGCAGTTTAAACATCCGAGAAAGAAATGCTGAGTTGGGGTGGGGAGAAGTGTTGTCCTCATTTTGCCTAGGTGCAGAGACCCGGATTCTCAAAGGCATGGACGTTGTGTACCTAAATACCTTTCGAGGATCTGGGCCAGAGAGATGTAGGCCAAAGTCGCCTGAAAAGTCTGATTCAGAGCTAGAAATTCAGCTTTTCTGAATTGCAGACCAGGGTCCTAACTGTGAGAGCAGTCTGCCTTGTACCATAGATGTGGGTGTGTAATGTAAAAGATGGGTTCCCCCTCCCACCCAGTGCAAGCCTGGGATTTTTCCCCTCCATCTGCAGAACCAAAGGGAACAAGTTGGCAATTAGTTAAGCGGAAAGAAGGGGGTGGTGAACTTACGAAGGAGGAAACCTCCATCCTTCTAAAAAAGAAAAGATAAAACAAACCCCACTTCAAACTCCGCTCCAGTATTTTTAAAATGTAACCGAGATCAGGTCCATGAAATGCACGCGTCTCTCCAGCTGCCTGATTAAAGCCTCACTTTGAAACAACACGGCCACAATCTAATGAGTGCAGGAGAAAGTCAAGCTGGCAGACTGAATTTACGCTTATCCTTAACAGCAGGCAGAACTGCATGGAGGGAAATAACTAGGCTTGTACGGCCTTTTAGCTTCTAGGAATTGTAGTGCAGGCCATTGTTGGGCTATTAAAGGACTGTGAGGGGGCTAAGAATGGGGGCTTGTTCTATGCAAATCCTGGAAAGAGCTATTCAAAGCCTAACCCACTTAGAAATGCATGTTAGTGCTGCCTACAGAACCCCAGTGCTTAGGGCCAATACCTTAGCAGCTGTCTACAGTCACCCCCGTCCCCCAAAATATTATAGGGATTTGTTAAAATGAATTTTGAAAAACAGGCAATTTTAAATTTATTTTAAGGACCCCCCTCCCCACCTTGTTGCTCTTTCAGTACCTGTATTGTCCTGGGCTTCTTTCCCAGTGGGAACTGCTGTTTTATCGACCCTTCCCAGCAGGAGGTGCTGTCCCCGGCTGATGCTAGGCTGCCTTTCCGCTGTGGTAACTGAAGCTTGCCCTTTGAGCGCATAGTGAAGCCTGGATCCTACAAACACTTATATACACATGCTTAATTTCACCCTCCCCATTTTAGGGACCGAGAGGGGAGATTTCTGACCGTGTTCTGCCCATAGCCTCGCTGATGGCTGTGCTGATTCTGAATGCTCAGAATGCTGTGGCTGCACCCTCCTGCTTCTGTCAGAGTCCAGGGCGGGGGCTGTGGGAAGAGCCTTGTTCAAGTGCAGAGAGGATGGGTTAACGGCCTGAACTTTAAGCATGGGAACAATAGCTCTGGTGCAGCTTGCCTGTCTGACAGTGAAGCACGTGTGCAAGTGTTTGCAGGACTGGACTGAGCTGGGTAAAACTCACCCCCCGTGCAAGGAGCCAGCGTACAGGCCAGGCTCCAGTAACTGCTCACAGCGACGGGGAGGTTGTCAGATCTTGGCTGTCCAGGCAGCAGCGTCCTCTTTGTTAAATCACCTCCCATCCGTAGGGGAGAGACTTTTCTTAGCAACTTACTCTGTGTTGTGGCGATTGGGGTCCCCTTCCTTTACAGGAGCAAATCCCCATCTACGCCCCTACCCAGGGAGCAGTCTGATTCCTTAGACTCTAGTAGCTGGGGCTTTGCCTAGTTCTAAATGATCTACCCCATGCTTTGGAGGAGGCTTATTGCAGGTGGAAGAGATCTTGCTGGGCCCGAGGGCGCAGGAACAATCAGTGAGCTGTCCCTGGGCCATTGCCTCTGGGGGGGAGGGACTTGGGGAAGGCCCCTCCCGCTCCCAAGGATCTGCTGGGGAAGGAGCCGTCTTCTCTGCAGAGCCGGAAGCCCATCCTGTCCACTGCTGCTCCCTCCCGCAAGCAGGGCTGCAGGCCTCCGAGGCCATTGGGGAACAGCTGCAGAGGGAAGGAAGACGGCTCGGAGCTGCATTTTACAAGGAGCTCTGTGAGTGGCCCTGCTAGCTGCCCGGCTGGATTGTGGGGGACATAGTGCTTCAGGGTTGCTGTGTGGATCAGGAAGGGATATGGAGGGTTGAACCAGGCTGGGTGCATTGTGGGTGGTGGTAACGAGGTGGCTGCTTTCACCAGCTGAGCAAGGGCCCTTTCCAGGCGGCTTCTCGCTGGCTCTGCAGGTGCCTTGGGGAGCTAGAACTCAGCTGAGGAAATGGCTGTTGGTCTCTTCGCTGCAAACCATGCCCAGACCTTGAGTCAGTCTGAGTGGTGGGGGATGAAGGCTCCTTCAGGGGTTTGACTGACCCCACTAATCTCTCCTTATTTTATTGCCAGCCGTGGCTGTGCTGGGTACCCCGTCCCAGGGCAGAACCTCCCCTGTGGCCTTGAGCCGGCTGCTGTACCTCACGCTGGAGTGTCAATCAGGAGTGACTCCACTGCAGCCGAAGGAGTGACGCTGGTGTAAGGGCGAGCAGGGCTGGGCTCCCTTGCCCCTGGGAACTGCTCTGTGCAGGGCAGTTTGGAATCTGCCGAGCTCCCACCCTGGTGCTCATGGGGGTGAAGCCAGCACCGGGCTGAGCGCTCCGGCTCTCCCCACGCTCTGTGGCCAGTTGGGAATGGAGCACAGTGTTGCAGGCTTCCCTCCAGGTGCCACTTCATGCCTCTCTGTGGATGGGGAAACCCAATTCTAGCGGCTTGGCTGGCCCCTCTGCCCAGTCACAATCTGTTCCATTTGTGATGGCAGGACAGTACTGAGACCAGCCAGCTCATTCCACCCCAGAGCGATGCCCCAGTTCCCTCGGGTGGGCACGACTCAACCTGGGGCACTCGCCGTCTAAGGAGCAAACCCAGCCACGGGACTTGTTGAAGCTGCTCGATGGCCATGTGGGCTGGAAGGAGTTAACCAATTCCCCGTTTCCCATTGGGCGAGGGAGATTTTGCTTGTTCCTCCAACCAATCGCCCTCCTTCCGTGCAGCAGCTGCTGTCTCATGACTGGCTCGGTCTCCTGGAAGGTGGCTCTGCTCTCGAAGCCATAAAGAAGAGGAGCAGAGAAGCAGCAGCAGTGCAGGGAGCTCCAGCTACTGGGAGCCAAGGCAGAGAGGGGGCAGCTGTACCCCCTGCCCCGTGCTGAGCCAGGGAAAATGAGCTGCCCGTCCACCCAGAGCGGGGAGCAGATCGAGCCGCTCAGGTACCTCAGGTGAGTGGAGCTGCAGGTGGGAGAGCAGCTGGGCTACAGGAAAGGGTCTCATGCTCGCTGGTGCTCCGGGCACTGTGGGATCAGAAGGTGCCCCAGTGTGAGCCCATGGGAAGGGACAGGACCCCCAGGTAGTTGGGAGCCTGCAGTTCCATCGCTGATGCAGAGTGGATTAGGGTGGGCAGGGAAAGTTTCTGCACAAGCAGGGGTGGCTGGAGCAGGTGCCCATGCTGCTGGTTGCCTGCCCGCACCTCTTTCTTGCTATTGTCAAGCTTGGGTTAGGAAGCTGAATTCCTGTTTGGCTCTTCAGGGCACATGAGGCTGGATGTGGGCAGAGTGGGCGCAGCCTGGGCTAGCTTGCAAGGGAGCGGGCAGGACACAGCAGAGTTGCTGACCCAGAGGGGTTGGAGTCCTGGGGATGCTGGAGGGTTTGTTCCTGGACAGAGAAGAGAAAGTGCCACCCTCTGCCCTGATTTCCATGCCACAGCTGTTCTCGGGCATGGGCAGAGAATGGGCTTGCCGCAGCCCTGCCACCCTGCCCACTAGAGCCCCCACTGCCATGCCCCCAGACGCTAGTGTGAGGCGCAAGCCAGTGTTGGATGCTCTCCTCTGAGCCCCCTGCTGTGTGTCCCTGCTCTTCGCTGAGGCACTGGGATGCGGTTTGAGGGAGCCTTGGGCATGCAGAGCTATTTCGGGTTCTCCAGGTGAGGCAGGGCTGCCTCGGTCCATGAGAGTGCGCCCTTCCTGGCCCTAGCTCGGGCACAATGGCTGACACTGGCGGCTGTTTCTGATCGCACCCTTTCCCTGTTGTCACCACACCCTTGATGAGCCTGGTCAGCAGGTGAGCTGTGCAGTTCTCGGGTGCTAGCTCTGGGCTGATCCGAGGGCAGCCGGTGCCAGGGCCGAGCACTCCCCTGGCTGTGTTAGTCAGGTCTGTCTCTTGTGCCAATGAGCCCCGTGAGTACTTCAGTAGCTGAAACGAGCAATTTCCACAGTTGACAGGTCCCGGGGCTGGCACAGAATCTTAATCGGCTGCACCTACTGGGGCATCCAGGGCCATCCAGCTGCCACCTTTGGCAGCAGTTGTTAGCCCCATGTCCCTTGTCTCTGGTGCACTGGAGGTGTGGTGGCTCAGCAGGGCTGCCGGAGGTGTCCAGAGCACTGGGATGGTCTGGATTAGGGCAGTTGCTGTGATCTCACTATGGAGCCCAGGGAGGGGTACCAGGGCCAAGGAGAGAGGAGACTTCCATTCTCTGTCCCTGGCGGGAGGATTGGCTGCGCCCCTCCACATTCAAGCAGAGGGGAGGCATGAAGGAAGCACAAGGTATGGCCTGCAGCCTCTGGGGGTGTCACCCAGCCCTGCCCCCACGTGCAGAGGGGCTGTCAGCTACTCGGGGCTCCTGGCCCTTCTCCTAGGGACACCTCTTCCGGGAAGGAGAGAGAAATCATGTGGCACTTGTATCAGGGACACAACGATGTACCTCAGCCTTCATGCTGACGGGACAGCCTGATGAGAGCTGTTCCCCATGGGCTGACCTAGAATGGGGCACACCTCAGAGCATCATCTCAAAGCCAGGATTACTGGGATGGGCCAGCTGGCATCACCCTGCCCTCTGGAAGGACCCACCTGCCAAGCACTCCTGGAAATGGGACCCTGAGCCTGCCCTCTTCCACTCCCAGCACTCGGAGAAAGCTGCTGCTGGAGCTGGAATATCCCCAGCTGGGCCAGGGCCCTGCTTAGATACCCGCTGCGCCCCTCCTGGGTGACTCCTGCAGGCTGGCCCAGGGCAGGTGGGGGGACCTGCTGTGTGCTGGGGTCATGCCCCATCTGGACTCATAGCAGGGACTGAGAGATATCGCTGTCCTGGCTCTGATTGGTCCCTGCCCCAGGCTCTGCCCCCGCTGGTCCTGTTCTGTCTGCTGGGGTGGGGCAGCTTCCTCCTGAGTGGGGCCCCGAACACTGCTCCATCCACCCAGGCCAGTGGCTCCTGCATGGCCAGATGCTCAGGAGGAGCGTGACCTCCCCCTACGGAGGCTGCGGCTTGGGGAGAAGAATCCAGTGTCCCTGCAGCAGATGGGGCTGGGGGAGCGCTGGCTGCGTCCTCTCCAGACCTGGCTGCACAGGGAGGGTTGAACTGGCCAAGTCCTTGTGGGTGGGGCTGCAGGGAACCCTCGTCAGGGTGGGCTCGGCCCTTAGGAAAGCTCTGGACCTGCAGCTGCCTCTTCAGCCTCCCAGCTGGCTGCACTGAAAGATACCAGTACCCTCAAGATGGGACCCTGGCCTCACCCAGTGGGGGCAAGTGGCACCCTAGGGGCAGGGATGTTGTTTCCATGGTGCTAGCAGGACAGAACACGTGAGAGGAGATGTTGAAAGGGTGGAGGCAGTGTGGCCTAGGGGTTAGGGCTGCTGGCCTGGGGTTCGAGAGCCCGAGGTTCTATTCCCAGCTCTGCTGCTGATCTTCTGGGTGACCCTGAGCATGTCCCTTCCCCTCCTGGTGCCTCAGTTTCCCCTCCCACTCTGTCTTTTCAGATGGTGAGCTCTTTGGGGCAGAGACTGCTGCTCACTGTCTGTGCAGCGCCTGGCATAGCAGGGCCCTGATCTCAGATAGGGCGACTATAATACACACACTAAATAACAGCCTAAGCTGATGGCACATTGGGCCTTCCCAGCAGTCTCCAGCCACCTGCTCCATCTGTCTTGGCATCAGTCTGCTCTGCCAGCTGCTAACTGGTGCTTCTGAAGAATGCAGCTTCCCCCTATAATGCTGCGTCTCAGCACGCACAGAGCTGTGGCCAGTGAGGGGTTGTGATGGGACAAACTTCATCTCACATCCCCTCGCCAGCTGTTAGCTGCCTCACATGGATTCCAGGTAGCACTGAGTGCTGGTGGCACCTTCTCTCCTCTGGGCCTCCCAGGCTTCTCTTCTTCCTTGGCTGATGGGCCTGTGCTGTGGATGGAACAGTGGGTGGGCCCGGAACAGCTCTGGGAACTGTCCAAGGTACAGACGGGGTTGGGGGGAGCCTGGGCAGATGCAGAACCGCTCAGCAGCCATTTCCAGATGCTCTGCTCCTGCTATGGCCGTGATCAGGTAAAAAGGTCCCTTTAGTGCCAGGTTGGGGGCCCCCCTGGTGGTACTGGGCTCCTGGCTGAGGCACGTCAGAGCTGAGCAAGCCCCCAGCAGGTGCAGTGCAGGGGAAAGTCTCTCCCCACACATCAGGGCTTCTCCAGGCGTGAGCACATGGTGAACCAGCCTGGGGCAATGATACAATGAGCATCTTGAGCAGTTGCTCCCGCTCCTTGCAGCTCTGTTCTCCTGAGGCCCCTGGCACCAGGACATTGGCATGGTAGAACTGTGTGATTAATCAGGCTAGATCTAATCAACAGGCTCAGGTCATAATTACCATGTCTTCTTGGGGGCCCTCTCTGCTCTGTGCATCGTGGAAATGTGTCTGCATTATAAACAAAGCTCTTTGCCAGCCTCCTCTGAGTGCAAGAGTAGGGAGCTCTAGGTTGGGAACGGGGATACCAGGGGCTGCGGGTCACGATTGAAGAGCCATTTAACGCTGTTTCTGGTGTGAGAGACTTAGGCCGGGTCAGTACTAGGGAAGAGTGGCTGGACCAGTTATTGCAGCGTAGCTATACCAGCACGTTCTCCTGGTGTAAATGCAGTTTATACTGGCCAAAAAAAAAAAAAAAAAAAGCGGGGCTTTTGGACCAGTTCCCTGAGCAAAATACGCGATCCTTGTAAAAGCACTTCTGGGTGGGTCTCACTGCACCTGCACTGGGGCTCTTGCTGGGTTAGAAATGTCACCAGTCAGCCCCCTAACAACCATGCTACCCCAGCAAAAGTGTCTTGTGTTGGCCCAGCCCAAGGTCTGGGGGCCTGGACACTAAGGGGGTTTGCAGATATGCTGCCCGCTGAGGTGGGAGCTCCAGCTCGGGGTGACCGTGTGGGCAGTGGAGACCAAATCCTTCATTACTCACTGAACCAGGGGGCTGGGCCAGTGTCCGCACAGCTCCCCCTGCCTGAGTCAAGGCCTGGGGACCATGCTGGACCTCTGACCTGAGCACAGAGGCTGGGAAGCAGCCAGGGCAGCCCCTAGCCCCCGTCTGCGCCGGGTATCAGGGACAAGGGTGACTCCATGTGGAAGCTTCTCAGCAGCTTGGTGCTGCTGCCTGCAGCCGGAGGCAGTGCAGCGTCCCGGATAATTGCAATGTGTTTAGCTGTAATTACAAAATTAAAAAGCGATTGAGGGGAGATGGATGGATGTGAAGGGGAGCTCGCTGTGAGAGGCAAACCCGGGCTTAGCTGAAAGAGGAACCTGCCCGTGGCTGCTGCTGGGAGCGGAGGCATTCGGAGGCCTAGGCCTAGGGCTGGATAGCTGGGGAGCTGTGGCTCAGGATTGAGAACATCTGCCTCACCCTGAATCCCGGTGCCCTGCCGTGGTGTTACTTCCGTTCTGGTCAGTGCTCTGAGGCAGTGAGCCACCAGTGGGGCGGGGGGAAACTGCTGAGCCAGCTGGGGTGTGGCTGCCGGAGCCGTCCCTGCAGATGGACTGGAAGCAGGGATGGGTATCCCCGGTGGAGCCCTTTGTCAGCTCTTGAGCTGCCTTTGGCTGCCAGCCACGGAGCTGCTTAAAATCTTGATGGTTTTGATCATCCCTCTGGCTGCTCCCAGGCATAGCCCTAAATGCTGCCGAGATCAACTGATGCTTGGCGCGGCCAGTTCTGCCTTGATACTTCCCCGTCGCTGCTGGGCCCACTCTTCTGGGGACTGGGAATATGGATAGTGCTGGCCCCTGGGGTGTCTGCAGACATGGTCCTGCCCCCTTGTGGATTCCTTCCCCCCTCAAGGATTTTCCTGGGGCTGATCTCCCACCGTTCCCCTCCCCGCCCCAATGGGATGTTGCTCTGGATATTTTAGTCTACCCTGGTGGGGACTGTCCCCCTGGCAGATGCTCTGATGTGCAGGGAGAGTGAATTTAGCCCAGGCAAAAGGGCC